GCCCAGTGGCAGCTACGAGTCCTGCAGCCCTAGGTAAGTGAGGAAACCTGGCTCCTCCTTTGGGTTTCTGTCAGCCTTGGCCCTGCTCCTACTGACTCTGTGTGCCCTTCCCCCTCCCCCCAGAGATGCCATTTGTGGGCAGCTCCAGTGCCAGACAGATAGGACCCAGCCTTTGCTGGGCTCCGTCCACGCTCTAATCTGGGAGATAATAGATGTGAACGGGACTGAGCTGAACTGCAGCTGGGTGCACCTGGACCTGGGCGACGATGTGGCCCAACCTCTCCTGACTCTGCCAGGCACAGCTTGTGGCCCTGGCCTGGTGAGCATCCTGGGTGGGCAAGACCAGGTGTGAGAAGGGACGTTTGGACCACAGTGAACAATGCCCAGTCTTCACCATTCACCAATATAAAAGGCAGGGACTCCAAGGGAAGTCAGTTTCTTACTTCAGATGGAGCAACATCCTATCAACCCACTCAGCCTTGGTTTCCCCATCTGTAAATGCAGAGTGTGGCCTCAACTTTGTTGGCCTCCCAGTTCCATTAAAGCTCTGTGGGAATCTGATCTATGCTGTTTTCTCTCCCACCCGGGTCAGGTATGCATAGACCATCGATGCCAGCCTGTGGATCTCCTGGGGGCACAGGAATGTCGAAGCAAATGCCATGGACATGGGGTAAGCTGGGATGGGGGAAGTGGAAGAGGAGCAGGGAGCCTCTGGAAGGGAAAAGGAAGCTGGGCTTTGGAAATAGACATATCTGGGTTCTAATCCTTGCTCTACGACTTCCTCGTTGTGTGACCTGGGGCAGGTTACTAACTTCGCTGAGCTCAGTTTCGCCACCTACCAAATGACTGTAGTAATATCTGCCTACTGAAGTACATAAGATGAGTACGAGAGCATCTAGCACAGGCTGGGCATGGTGGCTCACGCCTGTGATCCCAGTATTGTTTTTGTTTTTTTGAGACAGAGGCTCGCTCTGTTACCCAGGCTGGAGTGCAGTGGCGCAACCTCGGCTCAAGCGTTTCTCATGTCTCAGCCTCCTGAGTAGCTGGGATTACAGGCATACAGCACCACACCCAGCTAACTTTTGTATTTTCAGTAGAGGTGGGTTTCACTATGTTGGCCAGGCTGGTCTCGAACTCCTGTGAGGTAAGTGATCCGCCTGCCTTGGCCTCCCAAAGTGCTGGGATTACAGGCGTGAGCCACTGCACCCGGCCAAATCGCAGGATTTGGAAGGCCAAGTCAGGAGGATCACTTGAGGCAAGGAGTTCAAAACCAGTCTAGTTAACATAGTCAGATCCCATCTCTATCAAGGAAAAATGTAAAAATTAGTCAGGCATAGTAGTGCACACTTGTGGTCCTAGCTACTTAGAAGGCTGAGGCAGGAGGATTGCGTGAGCCCAGGAGTTTGGGGCTGCAGTGAGCCATAATTGCACCACTGCACTCCAGCCTGGGCAACAGAGTGAGACTCTGTCTTACTTGCTGTCTAAAATTAAAAAATTAAATTGAATTAAATTAAAGAAAGGAAGCATATAGCACAGTGTCCAGCACAGAGGAGGTGCTCAGTAAGTGTTAGTTTGATCTGATTTGCTCCAGTGTGGATAAAGACCCTCTCTCTGGTCTCTACACATCATACCCAGCACAACCTCCAGTTGTAGAAATCCGAGATCTTGAGAAGCTGGAGATAAGGAGACAGTTCCAGAGTGCAGGGCTCCTCATTGCTCTCCTTCCACCTCCTAGGTCTGTGACAGCAACAGGCACTGCCACTGTGAGGAGGGCTGGACACCCCCTGACTGCACCACTCAGCTCAAAGGTAGCATGGGGGTGGGGGAGAGGGGCAGCTGGGAGGGCAGAGCGGTTCACGCTTTATCTTTCCCCCTTGACCCTCTCTTTCTGACCCCTCTTTGCTGCTGGTTCCCTGAGTCTGTGCCCCTTGACCTCTTCACTCTCCCTGATCACTTAATTTCACTCCCTGCACCCTGCTCCTTCATGGGTCTAGAGTTCTTAGCCCTGCCCTCTTTTGTTTTTTTTTGTTTGCTTGTTTGTTTTTTTGAGACGGAGTCTTGCTCTGTCACCCAGGCTCACTGCAACATCTGCCTCCAGTTCACTTGATTCTCCTGTCTCAGCCTCCTGTGTAGCTGGGATTACAGGCACCCACCACCGCGCCCAACTAATTTTTGTATTTTTAGTAAAGATGGGGTTTCACCATCTTGGCCAGGCTGGTCTCAAAATTCTGACGTCATGATCCACCTGCCTTAGCCTCCCAAAGTGCTGGGATTATAGGCGTGAGCCACCGTACCCGGCCAGCCCTACCTCCTTTAAACCTGACTTCCGCCCACAGCAACCAGCTCCCTGACCACAGGGCTGCTCCTCAGCCTCTTGGTGTTACTGGTCCTGGTGATGCTTGGTGCCAGCTACTGGTACCGTGCTCGCCTGCACCAGCGACTCTGCCAGCTCAAGGGACCCACCTGCCAATACAGGTATGAGCATCACCTCCTTGCTACCACTTCTTTCAACTTGGGACAGTGCTGAAGCCTGCCTCACCTCTGTAGCCCCTGCCACCTGGTTTTGAGCCCCAAGCCCCTTGGACCTTAAACTTGCTAACTGCCACAGCCCCACACCTTCCTTCCCTATACGTGCCCACAGCTCTTCACCTCACAGCTGTGCCCCTGTGGGATAGCTGGAGTGCTATGGCCATTTATCCCCAGGGCCCCTATGCTGGATAAGCCGGGCCTTCCCTCAGCTAATCAACCCCTCCACTGCCACAATTTTACCTAAACCACACACAAGTACCTGCAAAGGGATAATGCCACTCAAGGATGGCATAAGGTAGAGAACAGGGTCTGAGCCTGGGCCCTCTCCCTCCTTGCCTTTCCTCATGCTTAGGGCAGCCCAATCTGGCCCCCCTGAAAGGCCAGGACCTCCGCAGAGGGCCCTGCTGGCTCGAGGCACTAAGGTGAGTCCCGGATGCCAGAGGAAGGGGACCGTAGCTTGGCCGGGCAGCCAGCTTGTGCCCTGGGGGGTAGGCATTAGAGGCTCCAGACTCAGAGAAAGGCTAGCACTGCCCAAGAGTCAGTCGAAGGAGTCAGGGCCAGCCCTCCCCTTCCCTTCCCTCCCCACCCCTGGCTACAGGCAGAGAAGCTGAGTCCAGAAGAGTGGGGAGGGCAGCCAGCTGGAGCAGGGGCTGTTGGGCTCCGTCCACTGGCTGAGAGGTGGCTTTGAGAGGTGGGTCTATCCATGCCCCCAGCAGAAACCCCAGAAGGGTACAAGGGCGGTGTTGCTCAGAATGGCCTTCCGTGGGCCCAGATCACCATATTAGAAGGGCTGGTGAGCACCCCCGCCCTGAGCCCTCTGCTCGGATGATGGGAGTGTGTGCATGCCCTCTCCACTTGCTCCCCACCTGCATGCACCTGCATAACTGCATGCATACTGCCCACTCCCCGGGCCCTGCCGGCCCTCCCTGGGCACTGACCCTTCTCTGCCCACTCTGTCTCTCTGCTTCCTCTTTCCCCTCTGTGCCTGTCTGCCCCTCCTACCCTCTCAGCAGGCTAACGCTCTCGGCTTCCCAGCCCCCCCTTCCAGGGCACTGCCGCCTGACCCTGTGCCCAAGAGACTCCAGGTAAATCTGGGCCAGGCCCCGCCCTGAGCTAAGGCAGGTGGGAGGCTTGATACCCAACTGCAGTTCTCATCCCTGCTCCCTGCCAGCGGTGCTCTTCATTAGGTGATCGGGGTGCCCCTCAGCCTTCAGACACTCTGAGCCCCAGCAGCAGCAAAGGGTGAGCCTCCTGCCTTGGCTTCTACCGCTATCTGGTGGTCAGTGGCGGGACTGCAATTGGCCAGGGCCTCCGCGGTTGACCTACACCTTCCTACCCTGAGACATCAGCTGGCATGCCTCCAAGCCCTCTGCGCATGCCCTCATTCTCTCCTGCCCCCTGGCTGACTTTGCATGTTGACTTGAACCCCTCCGGGGAATCTCTTTGCATGCCTACTGCCCCTGGCTATGCTCTCACAGCCACCGCCCCTCTCTCTGTTCAGGCTGAGCTGGCTGACCGACCCAATCCCCCTACCCGCCCTCTGCCCGCTGACCCGGTGGTGAGGAGCCCCAAGGTAACGGTGCGGGGAGAGAAGGGTACAGCCTCTCCCCCCCACCTAGGGCTGTGGTGCTGGTAGCCATGACGGTGGTGGCAGTGGCGAGATGTCCCCTCAGTGTATGAGGGCACATATCCCAGTGGTGCCTTTAATGGTGACAGGTTTGTTTGCAGGCAGAGGTGACCTCTGGTGCTGCCCCCAAGCTGGTGTTCCCCAGCACCAGTGCGTTGGGCATGGGTATCATGAAACCCCCCCCCACCCAAGCCGGCCTCCTGACTTCTCTCCCTCAGTCTCAGGGGCCTTCCAAGCCCCCACCCCCGAGGAAGCCACTGCCTGCTGACCCCCAGGGCCGGTGCCCATCGAGTGACCCGTCTGGCCCAGGAGCTGGAATCCCGCCCCTAGTGGTACCCTCCAGGTAGGCAAGGAGGAGCTCTGGAGATGGGTGGGTGGGGCCAGTGATCTAGGGGAAGGGACCTCTGACCCTTTTTTCTCGGCTTCCCGCATTCCAGACCAGCGCCGCCACCTCCAACAATGTCCTTGCTCTACCTCTGACCTCCCTGGAGGTTCCGCTGCCTCCAAACTGGATTTAGGACTTCAAGAGGCGGGTGTGCCCTCTGGAGTCCCCTACCATGACTGAAGGAGCCAGAGACTGGACGCGGTCTGCACCGCCACGCGCTGTGAAGCAGCACTCTGGCGACCTGCCCGCGTAGTTGCAGCTGGGGCTTGGGGAGGGGCTGGGGGTTGGACAGGGCTGAGGGAGGTGCGCACAGCCTGTCTCTGCTCAGCTGCAATAAACGAGACATCTTGGGAGAGTTCCTCAGAGTTTGTCTGCTCCTAGAAGCCGGGTCGCTCCTGCTGCGGTTCCAGGTCTGGCCGCCAGGAGACGCTGCCGCCTCAGACGAGGGAGGGCTGTTGTGGGCGGGAGTACCAGAATAGGTCGGCGTGTGTCCCCGGGATGCTCGCGGCTTACCTCTGCCCAGACTGGGGTGGCTCTCGGCGCAATCTGTCAAGCTGTTGGACCTGCCGTCCCCGCTCTGACCATTTGCTGAGAAAAGTGGATCTGGCAGATGTTCTCAAAGCCCCGGAGCCAGGGCGGAGCGGGGCGGCGGCTCCCACGATCCCAAGGCCGCGCACCTGCCTCCTCCCTCTCCGCCGCCGCCACCTGAGGGATCGGGAACAAAGGTGCTTTGTACAGGCCGCAACCACCTCATTACTTCGTCTTCGGGACTGGGGCTGCTTGGGCCCCCAGCCCAGAACGAAGGTGTGGGGCGGCAAAGGACAAACGCCAATCCCAAAGTGAGCATCCTAGCGCGTCACCTAAGGCTCTTTAGAGAATGTGGTTCCAAAAGCTGTGTTGTCCCGTACGCTCGTACTAGCCCTAGATCTGCAAAGAAAACGGGGCAGTGTATGAAGGTGGTTGGACAGGGTTCACGGATCCTCGTTCACGCCTCACTTTCCCCTATCTGGGCAAAGGTTATGTGTCCTTATGTAAAATCTTCCAAACTTCTAATAAGGCAATCTACCCTGCACTAAAGCAGACACGAAAGCACGACCTCCCTATAAATACTGCGGATGGAATACGCCCTTCCTTGCAGTGCTGTGCAGCCTCAGCGGAAGCTTAGGCGAACCCAGCGCGCACTGCGGCGCACAGAGGGTTAACTAGAGTTGGCGCTGGGTGGAGAGAAGGAGACGCGCTCCCATTGGCGGAAAGTTATCCAGGGGCGGGTCTGTGAATCTGCGCACCCCACCCCCCTTTCCACAACCCCCCACTTCACTTTGTACCTTTCTCGCCTCGACTGTGAGGCAGGCCGGGACCTGCCGGGCCAGACCAGACCGGACCTCGGGGGCGATGCGGCTGCTGCCCCTGCTGCGGACTGTCCTCTGGGCCACGTTCCTCGGCTCCCCTCTGCGCGGGGGCTCCAGCCTTCGCCACGTCGTCTACTGGAACTCCAGTAACCCCAGGTAGCCGGGCCGAACCGGGCGTGCGCCTAGCTAAGACTGCGCGCTCCTGGGCTTTGCGCGCGCTCGCCATTCGCTCTTTGCGCGGCGCCGCCTGAGCCTGGCCGCGCGCCGGGGCTCCTTTGTTTGAGCCGGCGGGGGAGGGGGGAGGGGGGAGGGGCGAGGCGCTCCCTGGGTCTCCCCACAGCCGTTTTGTGTTGGGGGGCAGGCAGAAGACCCTCAGCCCCGTGGGTTGCCTAAGGGGTCTTGGAGCTGGGGGGCCTTTGCCCTCACTCTGGGCTCCGCCCCCCTCGCTGCACTCCTGGCGATCCCCAGCCTCCCGCCGGCTGGAGCTGGGGTGGACGAACTTGAGAGCGAGGGAGGGGGCTTTACTCTTGAGATAGAGCATGGGTTACTCTCTTGCCCGTTGGGTCTCACCTCTGGCTCTCGCTCTGTCTCCTGATCGCATTTGCTATCTCTGCTTTCATCTCTGTCTTTACTGGTCCTCTGTTTCTTTCCAGTGTCAGCCCTGCCCTTCTAGCTGAATCACCTCTGGGCAAGTCTCCTGACCTTGCTAACCTCATTTATCTCACCTGTATAATGGGCTAATAATACCTAGTACCCTGGGAAATCCGGCGGGGTAAGTGAGGTCATGTATGTAAAGGAGGTGCAGGGTGTGCAGATATAAATTATTCTTTCTCTCTCCTGAGCTGCCTGCCTTTGAACCTCACTCTATTTTACTGTTTCCATCCCCCTCCCCAAATCTCCCTGCCTCTCTTCTGTTTCCCATCTGTTTTCCTTTCTGATTTTTTACTTGAGACAATCTGTGACTCTATTCATTTGTTCACTCACTAACATTTAAACACAAACTGTGTGCCCGGCCCTGTGCTAGGTTGCAGGGGATGCCACTATATAGATGAGAAGATCAAGACCCTGCCCTCTGGGATTCCACAGACTCCGGAGAGCCTGCGTAAAGACAGGTCATTACAATACCAATACCAAGTGATAAGAGCTATTGTTGTCCTTGGACCCTGAATTCCTCTATCTCTGTTACAGACCAGAGCCTCTGAATCACTGTTAAAATGCAGGTTTCTCACCCCCAATCTTAAGGTTTCTGACTCATTCATTCAATCCACAAATATTTATGAAGACTGTCTTGTGGTGGGCACTTTTCCAGGCACTGGGGATGCGGTGGAACAGAACTTACCAAGGCCCTGTCCTCGCTCAGCTTGCGTTCTATGTCTGGGCTGACTCAGCCCAGGAATCTTCATTTCTCATCAGAACTGCGACAGGTGGTCCTTGGACCACCCATTGGAGGCCTCTCCTAAGTCACGCTTCACTGCGTTTATGGTATGGGTGGTGGATCATGCAGCTTTCTGTACAGTGGGGAGCAGCCCGTTCCAGCCCTTCCCTCCTGTGCTGGCTTCCCCAGGCAACTCCCAAGAGGTGGGGGAGTCCCAAGAAGACTGAAGACTGAGTGGTGTGTGGACTCCCTGCCATGCCTGGCACTTCCTCCTCCTGGCCAAAAAAGGGAGGCACCTGGCACCCACTCCTTCATTTTTTTTTTTTAATTTTTAGAATTTATTCATTTAGAGACCGGGTCTTGCTCTGTCACCCAGGCTGGAGTACAGTTTCATGATTAATAGCTCACTACAGCCTCAAATTCATGGGCTCAAAGGATCCTCCCGCCTCAGCCTCCCAAATAGCTGGGACTACAGGAGTACACCACCACTCATGGCTTTTATTTATTTATGGTAGAGACAATCTCACCATGGTGCCCCGGCTGGTCTTGAACTCCTGGCCTCAAGCAACCCCCCTGCCTCGGCCTCCCAAAGTGCTAGGATTCAGATGTGAACCATTGCACGTGGCCTCTCTCATTCTTTTTTTTCCTTTTCTTTCTTTTTTTTTTTTTTTTTTTTTTTTTTTTTT